CTGCAAAGAATTGCCTACCGTTCCTGCGGCCACACGTTCAGGGGGGGTGGTATTGACCCTCTATGCAAAACGGGAATGCTGCCACACTCGCAGGGTGCGTGGTCCTGAGCGGGGGCGATAGCACTAAATAACACCACTGGCTACAGCAGGTAGTTGCTGGCGAGCGTTTTTGCAGTCGTATTGAGTGAATTAATGAGGGAGGGTACGGTCGGTGATTTATCACATAGCATCACACCGCGGCGATGAGTATCAACAGCTCTCTCTCAACAAGAGCGAAAAACAGTGTTCCTATGTAGACCGGTCGCCCCGGTGGCCTAGTGGTGCGACACCGCGAGTGGCGAGGTGGTTCGAATCCCCATGGGGCGAGAATGTACACCTGCGGGTGAAAGCCAAAAAAAAAAAGCCAAAAAGCTCTCGGGAGACCAAACTTCGACGTTAGAACCGTCGACGAGGGAAACGGACTGCTAGACCCTTCTCGCGATACTAATAGGGCGGGGTAATGAGCAGCGGGGTAGCGACTCAATACCTCGCAGTTGTCTTATCTGCAATGCTGATGGTGCACGAACGACGTTTGCGATGCAGCTGCGCCGTGCACCAGAGGGACGGGCGCGACAGGTGCGACGATGGCTGAATGTGCGGCCCGTTCCAAATTTTGCAGGAATTTCGCACTGCTATGGGGTACTTTCTTTCACGTTGATGCTCAGATACACATGCATACGTATGCATACACCCACGAAAAACAAAAGCATGAATTCTTTCCGTCGTCCGCACGGAAACAAGCACATCTGCAAGAGGCACGCATGCAGCATGCACCTGGCGGCGAGTGTATCACACATCACACCGCCAAGGAGCACGAGCACCAGCAGCGTAGAGAGACATGGAATGGTGACAGACAGCGTGACAGACAGATGCCCGCCACATTCGTCTGGAGGATCGAGCCTCCGAATCTCCGGCCCAGTGAAAGCAAGCAGTTGCACACACCACGCGGTATTACGACAACAAAAATAACGCACGCACCAAAAACAAAGAAAAAGATTGTGGCCATGGCGTTGATGGGAGAGCCCAAGCAGCAGCAACAGCATCCTGCTTTGTAAACATAGATAGCCAGTAGCGCGGCGCAAGTACGCAGCAACCTGACTGAACCGATCCCGGGTAACCATCCTGATAGCGCACAGCAGCGGTAGACCCTCACGACCTCGACGGTGTCTCTCTGTGGTAAGTGTGATCTGAACCTCGGAAGGTGGTGTTACCAAATTTGGCTTGCGCATCATCGGTCGTTCCAGTTGATCCGTCTGCTGTTCGTTGGCACTCGGTTGGACCCACTTAACACCAATAAACACCGCTCACACATGACGCAAGACTACCCACGGCGCGCAAGGCGTATAGGCTCGGCCTCTCGGGGTTTTCAAAGCTGGTCTCGGATGAGCGTCTAAGCGGTGATAATGCGTTTTCAGGTCGTGGTGTTGGGTCCCTCTCTCTGTTTCTTCCGTGGTTTCAATCGCGCGCGCGCGTGACCTCCGTTTTTGGGTGCGCCGTTTCGCATAGAAACCCTGAGGTAGGGGAGCAAGATTCCCAACGAAAATTGGGCACATATGCCTGTGAAGCACGGCCATCTGTTGCCGAAGCAGGACCAAACCGGTGTGACGATGAGCGGGCTACTTTTATCCTTCCTCAGAAGCAAACAGATCGTCAATCGGTACACCATAGATTTCGTTATGATTTCAAAAGTGGGCCATATCGGCTTCCCGGAAATCAACTTTTTGGGCCCCTGTATCACGCGGCCCAACTTTGGCCTTTATTTAGAGCCCGGTTTTCTCTCCTGGGACGGAGGACTGTCGCGCTTCGCACTCCGCGGCTCACCATGAAGAAAATACTTGTAATGAGCCGCGGAGCGCGAAGCGCGACATATTTTCCCTTCGTCCCCAGGCGGGAAAGAAGGCTCCATACATATCGGCCAAAGTTGCGCCGCGCGACACAGGGACCCCAAAACTTGATTTCCGTGAAGCCGATACAAGCCACCTTTGGAACCAGAACGAGATCTATAGGGCACCGACTGACGACCTGTTCCCTTCTGAAGAACAAGAAAAATAGCGATCTTTGCGTCACACCGGGTTGGCCGTGCTCAGATAGCAAATGGCCGTGCTACAAAAGCGTCTGTGCCTTAAATTCGTAGGAGATGTTGCTCCCCAACCCCGGGGTTTCCACGAGAAAAGGCGTGCACAAAAGCGGAGATCGTGCGCGCGCGCGATTCACACCAGGACAAACACAGAGGGAGACGCAAGAACACCACCAACAAAGCATCATGGCCCACGGGACAAGCAACACGTGGTGGTGCCCGCGTGCTGATGCGGTGCTGAATATCAGGTTGAAGTGAACATCGTTGTAGCCGAAGCGTGAACTCGTACAGGTCTTTATGGTTGCCAACGAAGGCCCCAGGTTGTTCGTCAGTTTTTCTAGACCAACGGGGAGCAGCTGTACGAGTTTTGAGATCAGCCGTCTTGGTGGAGGAAGGAAAAGCATTGGCGTCGACTCGACAGAATATCAACTGACGGTTGGTCTCTTTCGAATTTCGAACCACCACAGACATCAGCGGCTGCGCCGTAAGTCGGGAGGGATGCACACACACCTATCTACCTACTCTGTGCTGAGGAGAAGGACATCATCAGCACTTAACGAATAAATATATAGGCAACGGCCCGTTTTGTGCACAATGAAAGGATGCAGCAGCAGCATTACCATGATCTCCTGCTGTGTTGGGTATTGGCTGTGCCCTTTTTTCCGTTGAGAAAGGGTGTTTGTCCTCTTTGCCTCCCTCTCCACCAAATGCTTTCCACACAATCCTGGCTCGTCGACATGGTGTCGATTGGTAGATAGTGTATGCAAGATGCCCAGCTGAGGCGATACACACGTGCAACATCTGATCTGTATCATCACCGTTACATACTCCTCCTACACTACAAGCGTGCAATTGGTGCCCCGCGCGCACAACACCTTCCACAACGACCTCAAACACAAATCCCAGGCGATTCTGGGGTACGGTAGCGGGTACGGTTGAACGTCAGATGTGTAACAGAAAGTCCGGATTCAACAGCGGTGAACTGGTTTGCCACGGCCAGAATTGGCGTAGAAAAAAAAAATCTTCTTTGTGTGATTCTGGAGGCCGCGACACGTAAAAATGATTCGTCCAGTGGGTGATTGGGTGGATTTTCTCTTGGATGCTGGAGCACCCGTGGGCTCGTGCTGTCCTTCCACCAGAGCTGCGAGTAGCAGCACATCTATAACAAGGCAACAAACTTTGTCAATGGAACTTGTGATGCACGCTCGTTTTGGGACGAAGAAAGTATTGTGCACGGTACTGGCGGAATGGGGAGGCAGGTTGTTTTTTTTGTCACAACGGCGACAAGAAGGCACACACCTTTAATATTGCACCACGAAAGCACCGGTCAGAGCGTGTGGGAGAGGTTAGTTGCAACCGTTTTTCTCCGCACTCACGATACCCCAAGCCATCTAACCTAGTACCACACCGATGCTGGGTAGAGCTAGCTCCCTCGGGGTGGCATTGCTGTTGCTGTTGCCTGCTCCTCCGAAAAGTTATCGCTGGAAAACCAGTCCATAAACACACAATCCCTGCGAACTTGAACCAACCGCTCTCTGACGTGGGTACTGCTGTAGGGTCGATCAAAACGTTTTTCCCGATGCGCACAATACCCCACGGCACCAAACCTTGGGCATGAAAGATGGAGCAGAGAGCTTCCTCCCACCGAGTGGCCTTGCTACTGCTGTTGCTTGCTCCGGAAAGTTATCGGTGGATAAGCAAACCCGTGGCGGTCAAAAACATCGAGCTTGAACTAACCGCTCGAGGCCGTTGACGGTTGTGCATGGCACAACCTTTTTTCCCGGCGCGCTCAGCACCTCACGGCCCCAAACTATGGCATTGCCCGATGGCCCATGGCATCACCTCCTTCCAGATATCATTCATGAGGCAACTCGTGAAGTATTCGCCGAGATATTGGTGATCAAGGCCTTCTCACAATCGAAGCTGGAGAGGGTCTATAACGTGTGCGGTAGGGTAGCAGCTTGACGTGAACCGGTATAATTTCCGCCGTGCAGCTTTTCTCGCCCCTTCCCGACTCGAGAAAAGCTGAAAATCTTCCGTCTACAACTTCCCAACACAACATACAGATAGATACACAAGATGGCTACCAAACTGCCTTGTTGAGCCTGTTACCCACAGGGGAAATATCGTTGTGTGCTGTCTGGGAAACCGTAGACATACAGGTAGCTCTTTGCTCACGCTATGGATTCATTACTAATCTATCTTAGACGTATTTCTATAGATAGATATGGATTTATTTGTTGTGTGGTATTAGAAAAAAAACAAAATTAAACCTTTCGGCCAGATTGCAGCTTTTCGCTCCGGAAAAAAAGTTGCAGAGCTTTTCGTGCAACTTTTAGCTCCCATACTGAGCGTACATTAGCAAAGCTCCAAGACAAGTTGCAGAAATGCAGCTGTTTTTGCATGTACCGCTTTTTATGGCACCACAATGTAACTAGAAAAGTTGAAAACTTTTTCTGCAAATGTTTTCTGCAACTACAGTGCCGGCCCGCACTTAAGAAGTATGGCACTTGAGAATTTGATGCTCAAAAAATCCAATACTGAAGAATTTACCGATAAGAACACCTGCTCAGCTGCACGCCCTGTTAGGAACAAGAACACACACCTGAGGTGCAAAACTCCTGCCACAAATAAGAACGACAGCAATGCAGCGGCTGCCAGGTAAAAATACTCGCAGGGGGGGGGAGGGAAGAGGGGGGAGTGATGCCAGAGTAGAGAGTATTGGAGGGGAGGGGTACATACCCCACATATCAATATTTGTACTTTTTTAGAGGGGCAGGGTGGGCATTGTACGCACGCGTCGTGCCGCTGGGCGCCCCCGAGAAAAGCGTGCGTGCCACGCAACGTGCAGCGTGCCACGAGCTGCCTGCGGTGCAGGGGGATCATGTCCCAGTACAATCCCTTATCCCATGGGATATTGAAAGAGCTTGGCAAACTTGCAGAGTTGAAACAAAGGGGTCTGATTCTTGACCGTCACTTCGAGACATTCAAAGCACACGTGAAGGCGGGCAACTCCGTTGCGAAGGAGCGATGGGACGCCATCGAGAGCGCGTGGGGGCTGAAGCAGAACGGTGTCTTCGACGAAGAAGAGTGCGTCACGCAGATTGACGGCGGAACGCAGGGTATTACCAGCAGCACCCGCCTGTCCTCTTCATCCCAGCAAGATGCCGGCAGCGCGCGAGGTGTTGCACCGCCGACTCAGCACCCACCACCTGCTGCTGCAGGTACCGCGAGGAGAAAGGCCGTGGATCGCGGGAAGCAAGCTAGGGAGAGAGCTGCCAAAGGCACTTTAGGCGGCAACATCTGCAACGCGTTCGCGATTGGCAGTCGAGGACCGGTGAGCACAGCAGTTACTTTTCGCTACCGGTGTAGTCTACATACACCTTTTCGTTTTTCAAGAAAACTCCCGTGAAAACGATAACATCGATGAGGTTTTTTTTTTCAGTAGCGGCGCGTAAAAAAAAAAAACAAGGAGAAAGTTCGTAGTTTTGGGGCTGGCCTCTGCTGGCAACGACTGCGTTTCGCACGTCGTTTCTTGCTGTAGGTGCCCAAGCAAGTGGAGGATTGTCGAATTCTCGTCAACTGCGTAAGCTGGCAAGAGCCAACTCCGGTGCAAATACTCCGGGAAGTTGTGCCTTTTTCAGGTTCGTGGCATGCTGCTGCTGTGTAGACATGATAATATATAATTTTCGTCCATCCCCCTATTTTTTAAGCAAGACCAGAACATTAAAAGAAAATAGTATAGACAGATATTCTAGTTTGGATGCCGGCGACTTTGTTTTGGCGTCACAACAGTGCACGTTCTCTGCTTGATATATAGTTTGAATAATCACGAACGAAACAGACAGCTTTCGGCTCTCCACGGAGGTTTGAGGTCGAAAGCGCCACACTCCATAGCGAACGATACATGACGTTACTCGTTGAATCACCCCCCCGGCAACTCCGCCCTGCTTCCACCTTGCCATGCAGATTGAGCGGACTCGCGGGGGAGTGAAAGAGCTCATATCCGGTATAAGCTTCCCACCTCCGACCCCGGAGTCCCGCCGATCTTGCCCGCACTGTCGCATGACCTTCGTGAACGAGCAAGGCCTTGGGATCCACGTGAGAACGCAGCACAGCAGTGCAAAGATGTCCAACGACGTGCGGCTGCGGCGCATGTTACGGAAGGATGTCGGAGGGAGTGTCCTGCCGTGGGAAGCAGCCGGGCCTGGGCGTTGTTGGCACGTGAAGTTCGATCATGCGACGGGGACGGCTTCGTTTGTCCTCCAGCGGAAGCGCTTTCTCGATCTCGACTTGGATAGCGACGGCTTTATGGACCGCAAACCCAAGGACTCTCGTGGGGCTCCCAAGCGCAGGCGATACGACTTCAGGTTCAAAGTCCACGCGGTCAACCAGCTGCGCATCCTCCAGGACAACGCCGAAGACCTCTGGAAGGAGGAGCAGCGCACGCGTTTTCAGTANTCGATCTCGACTTGGATAGCGACGGCTTTATGGACCGCAAACCCAAGGACTCTCGTGGGGCTCCCAAGCGCAGGCGATACGACTTCAGGTTCAAAGTCCACGCGGTCAACCAGCTGCGCATCCTCCAGGACAACGCCGAAGACCTCTGGAAGGAGGAGCAGCGCACGCGTTTTCAGTACTTGGAGGATCGTCTCAAGATTCCCTACAGCAATATAGTGAAGTGGGCCAAGAACGATAAGGAATTGGTCGCGGCGGCAGCCGATGACGTAAAGAAGAGCCTCCTCGCCAAACAGCAGCCTGAGGCAGAGAAGCGACTGTACAAGGGGTTCGTGGAGCGGCGGAAGAGCAACCTGAAGGTGTCGACCCTGTGGCTGACGATCACGTTCCGGAAGCTCGTGCAAGAGATGTACCCCGGGGATCAACGAGCGGCGTACTTCCGCGCATCCTTCAAGTGGGGGCGAAAATGGGCCAAGAGGCATAACCTGCCCAAAAGACGCCGGACCAACCTCAAGAACAAGTCTGTCGAAGAGCGACTTCCAAAGATCCAGCGCTTCCACCGGCTGTTTCGCAAGCTCCTGCAAGAGCCCGTGGGGTACAGGGCGCCCGATGAGTCCGACGTGTCGGCAGTCACGACGGTCGCGGAGAGAGAGTCCAGGGTTCCCAAATACGGTCAATTCCAGCTCTGGGAGCGTTGGAATGTAGATCAAGTGTCTTTGGCATTCGTGAACGGGCTGCTCGACACGTGGGACAAGAGAGGTGCGTTCCGCGTAGCAATCTCGCTGCCCTTTCCTGGCCTAGAGAAAAGGCACTGCACGATGCAAGTCATCTTTGGTCCGGGTGAGAAGACCATGCGCACTTCGGTGATTTTCCGAGGTACGGGAAAGAGGATCTCGCCGGTGGAGAAGGGAGCGTATCACGAGGAATAGGGAGGTCTTTCTCCAGGAGAACGCGTGGGCCGACCAAAATTTCTGCATGGAGTGGGCGAAGAGGTCCTACTGGGAAGGCCTGATGCGCGGGCGGGGTGAGCTCCCCAAGGCGAGGTCCATTCTTATCATGGACAACTTGCACGCGCAGACAACGGACGACTTCAAGGAGGATCTTGCGAAGCACTGCAACACTCTCGCCTGGTATGGCCCTTCGGAGTGCACGGACGAGGTGCAGCCAGTTGATGCAGGAGCCGGACCATTTCTCATGGTGGAAGTCGGGAGGCAGATGGACATATGGCTCGAGCAGTCGGACAACCTGAAGAGGTGGGAAACCGCGTCGCTGACAGCTTCTGATCGGCCCGTCCTGATCACTCGGTGGATGGGAGCGGCCATGGCAAGACTCAACAGCCAACAGGCGTACCGATGCCGTCTTTTCGGAAAGTGCGGGATGGCCATGACCGTGGACGGCTCGGGCGATGATCGAATCACCTTGGAGGATTTGGACAAGCCGTATACCTTCGCCAACAATGAAGACAGTAGCGACGACGAACAAGGTTCGGAGAACGGCAACGATGAGCCTGAGGGGCGGGCGGAGGAGGGCGATGGAGGACCTGAGACGCTCATGGAGGGCGTTGACTCCAGCGAAGAAGACGACGGCGGTAAGTTTTTTTTGCACAAAACCAACTCTTCATTTTCTTTTTGTTGATGTCGATGTCCTTCATGTTGACGTTAGCTTGTTTCCACGCACGCCTGCACTCAAACTATGATAAGTTCAGGTTGAGTTTTGCTTGGGAGTTGCAACGTTGCCGAGCACCCGACCCGCGCTGTGCAAAAAGGGACCGTAATCCAGCACGCAGAAACACGATAGTGAGGCCGTTTTGCCTCGTGCTTCTAGCGATTTTTCGCACGAGCTCCATGAACACTCCTGCTGTGGATTCGGACTCGGACCACCAAGTTGTGTTCCGAGTTGACAAGAGACAGGAGCTAGCTCCCCCACCGAGTGCTTTGGGCCGGAGGGTACAGGAGCACATCGGTGGGCCTCAGGCGCTCAGCTTGAAGTGCAGCACAACATTGACACAAGGTGGGAGGGTTATCACCCCCTTGGCTGGAGCTGGTGTGCATACTGTAGAAGGGGATGGAAAATGCGGGTGGAACGCGCTGCGTGCGGGTCTGCAAGCTTGCCTGGGTAGAGCGAGGACTCCCAACGAGCAGCAAATGCGGGCAGCGGTTGCCCGTAGAGCCATGGAACATGTCGTCGGCGCACCCGATGTCCCTGAGGACTCGACAGCGGTACTCTCAAAAGACCAACTTGGGCGGGCCCTGAGTGTGAAGGTACCGCATGTTTTAGGGGATGTCGAACACGGGATGGCCGCGGAGGATAAGACGGTTAGGTGGTTTTGCGATCTAGCCTGGCAAAGTGCGGAGAAGTGGGTTGACGTTACCTGGATGTCCTTCCTGGCCTCGGAGTACGGGGTGAATATCATGGTGTGGGAGCCCAGCGCTAAGCACGGTACAGTCCAGGCTTACTCAGGAAACAACACGGCAGGCATGTTCTTGTTCGAGAAAGAAGACAAA